CATTACTGCCCTGTCACCTTCAGTACACTGCATTACTGCCCTGTCACTCTCAGTACATTGCATTACTGCCCTGTCACTCTCAGTACATTGCATTATTGTTGTGTCACCCTTGGTACAACGCATTACTGCCCTGTCACCTATGGGCACTGCATTTCTGCCCTGTCACCCTCAGTACACTGCATTAGTGTTCAAATGTTTTCTGGTGGAACCAACCAAAATGTTCTTTTTCAGATGAACGGGGTTTAACAGAAGAGAAGGTTCTGCTCTGTCAGCATGAAGAATGTGTGGACAAACAGAGGGCCGTCAAGGTAAGGGCTCTTGTTCCTCCTTGTGACGGGCACATACACACTGCTATACTCACTCTCCCTCAAACGTGCACATGCACTTTCTCCCCTTCTCTTTTCCATTTCCTATTCTTGCTCTTTGCCTCTGTACCTTTCACTCATGCGCTAATTGGGTAATAAAGCATTTGTGCTTAGTTCAACCATGGCAAGGGCTCAGAAATGAATGGTTCTGTACTTCTGTTTTATAAGCAGTGTTGAGCTGGGCCTGTGAACATTTTTATGATCTGAGATTTTATGGGATTTATCCATAGCATTTTGCAATTATATTCTGTAAACCAGTGAAAATGATAAACCAGAGAATATGGCCATATCATTTTTGGGAGAAACAATAAGTTGAGATCTTGACTGTTGTTTGCTCATTTCCAAGGCAATGTTGTTGGAGAGGCAGGGAACTCCCCAGTGGCCTAGCCAACATTTCTCCTCAACAGTAGATTAACGAGTCATTGATTTCATTATGGGCAGAGCATCTTGCAGTGGGAAAAATGACTACTGTGTTTATCCAGTAACAAAAGAAGGACCGTACCAAGAAGTAATTCACTCAGTGAGAGCTTTGTGATGCCTAGACAGATGAATTACAGTACCATATCAAGGCATGGACCCCAGGAGTTTAGGGGTGGTGCAGTTAGCCCACAAACCAAGTGAGGGCAGCATCATTCCATTGATGCTGCTTGGCCTGCTGTGTTCATCCAGTTCTACACCTTGTTGTCTCAGATTCTCCAGCATCTGCAGTTCCGACTATCTCTCATTCCATTGACTCCCTGGACTGTCAATCTCTGTAAGGAAGGGTTAAACTTCTGGGGAGTTTTGCTGGAGATTTCGAGCAAAGTTCCAGGAGAATCAGTTTAATCTATTTATCTGTTGATTTATATTCAACCCCTGAGTGTCATTCACTTGGGAGGAGTATCCCTGGTCTCTGACCACTGCCTTAGGGAGAAGATTCAAGTGAAAGAACCTTTACCCCGAAGTTAAAGAGTTTTTCACTTTGTGAATATGAAACATTAACACACATACACACACACATACACACACACATGTGCACACACACGCACACACATACACACACACACACAAAAAACACTCGACCAAAGTTGATACAAAAGCTGGTGCAAACATCCTACCAATCAGAATTAGGCAAGATATGTACCTGGATCAATGGAAGTCAATGACACAACTACAACAGGAAAATGAACTGCACAGAATGGGACACCATCTCTTGCTTAGTGTACTTAATGAAATACAGCTATGGCAATCTGTATGGAAATAGCATGTTTTGTCAAATTCAAAGGAGCTAAATTCTACTCCAAGCGGGATGTCAAACAGTAATATTGCTTCATCCATTTTGCAAAGGAATCTCAGGAAATCCCTACTTTCAGAACACAATTTAATAGATATTGCTTACAGAGACTACCTCTTGGTTTGTTTGTCAGTTAAGATTTGTTTCATCAGCACATGAACTGAATTAGTTAAAATATTCCTGCATGTGTGTATTGTTGATCATATTGCACTGATGAGCAAAACTAAAGAAGTAAAATATACAGTTGCCAATGGCAGTAGCTCATTGTGAGGGACTTGTCTCCAACAACAGGTTGTGGGATCCGAACCGACCCAGGCAAATTGAAAGATGGAAGATACATGTAGTCCCCAAGACAACGAAGATCTGCAGAGCTATCTCAGAATTTTTAACTTCCTAACATCATATTGACCAAAAACAAACACATTGTGCAAGCTATCAAACCATTTGAGTTTGAATGCAAACGCCTGTCGCAAGTGTAATCCAAAATAGAGTGTGAAACAATTCTCTGCTGTTCCCTGGTACCAAAATAATTACCTCAGACAAACTGAGCAGAATGCAAATATTGCATTAAACTTACATGTAGACAATATGGACATTGAAGTGGGAGATGTCCTTAACATCTTTTGACCAGCCAAACCTCAGGAAGAAACAGCTGGTGATTCTTGACTGAAGGCACTAAGAAATATTTTCAAGGAAGGATGGATGGCTTGACATGATAAAAGAGCTGCCAGACACACTCAGATGATTTTAACCAAACAGCAAGGAACTAAGTATCTTGTGATGTATCTTGGACAATCTCAACCCCATTGCAGCTAATGGTGCAAGGTCAGGACATAAAGATAGGCTGCTAGCAAAGATGATATGGAATAGCTGAGGAGTTTCATTGGACAGCTAATTTTGTTGGGAAGACAGACTGAATGAGAGGTAAGTTTTGATGTCTGGAACATGGTCTGGGCATGAAAGATCCAATGGTGGAGGATATTATAAGATCAAGTAAAACTTTTAAAAAGGTTAAAGTAGAGAAATGTGTGTTGAAGTTCTCAGCTTTGGTTAATCCCTGTAATATGACATTAATCATATGGGGAGATGATGGCTGAGTGGTATTATTGTTAAATTATTAATCCAGAGACCAGGGTAATGTTCTGGGAATCCAGGTTTGAATCCCAGCATGGCAGATGATGGAATTTGAATTCAATAAAAATCAGGAATTAGCAGTGTAATGTTGATTGTCAGGAAAAACTCATCTGGTTCACTAATGTCCTTCCTTTAGGGAAGAAAACTGCTGTTCTTACCTGGTCTGGCCTACATGTGACTCCAGACCCACAGCAATGTGGTTGAATTTAACTGGGATGGACAATAAATGTTGAACTGGCCTGTGTCACCCACAACCTGTGAATGACTTTAAAAAGAATTATTTTTGGTGATGCATCGTATCCAAATCTTGGCAGTGGATTTTCCAGTGCAGGAGTATTAGTGATATTCCTTGTGAGAGAAAATGGGAACAGTTGACACTTGATGTATGGGAGGGAAAGAATTGAAGAGTGGTGAAGATCACATTAGTTGCTGAAATTTTGTCTCTTATTGATGCCGCTGACATGGCATTCTATTTGCCTAAGATCTCATGGGAAATGCTACATGATAGGAGTTGGGATGTCATGTTGCGGCTTTACAGGGCATTGGTTAGGCCACTTTTGGAATAGTGCAATCAGTTCTGGTCACCCTGCTATAGGAAAGATGTTGTGAAACTTGAAAGAGTTCAGAAAAGATTTACAAGGAAGTTACCAGCGTTGGAAGGTTTGAGCTATAGGGAGAGGCTGAATAGGCTGAGGGCTATTTTCCCTGGAGCATCTGAGGATGAGGGGTGACCTTATAGAGGTTTATAAAATCATGAGGGGCATGGATGAGGTGAATAATCAAGGTCTTTTCCACAGGGTAGGGGAGTCCAAAACTAGAGGGCATAAGTTTAAGGCACAAAGGGAATGATTTAAAGGGGACCTAAGAGGCAACTTTTTCATGCAGACGGTGATGTGTGTATGGAATAAGCTGCCAGAGGAAGTGGTGGAGGCTGGTACAATTACATCTGGATGGGTATATGAATAGGAAGGGTTTAGAGGGATATGGGCCAAATGCTGGCAAATGGGACTAGATTGATGTAGAATATCTGGTCGGCATGGACCGAAGGGTCTGTTTCCATGCTGTACAGCTCTAGGTAAAAGGGACTGAAAGCACAATACCAATGGAATGTTACATTGATAATCAGTCTTTGTGGGATAACGTCCATTTTACAAAATGTGTGAGTGAGAAAGAATGTAGATGTAGCTGAATTAAAGCAGAGAGGGAAAAAATATCTCAAAGGTTAGGTGAGAAGATAGTAGTTGCCAACTATTGGATTGTTTCACGAAAAGGAATGTCTCTACAGAAAAATTGTTACAGTGTCTAGAAGAAAGATGTCTTGCCATATTACAGAAGGAAATTGGAAGTTGTGTTTTTTATTCCAATCTACGTACCTATGTATAAATGTAACATTTTTCTTAAATGATAGGCAGTCTGTTAAATGCAGGTCTTTTTAACAGATATCTTCCAAATTACTCTGCTCAGAGATGTTGTTACCTCTGGAGCAGATGGGCTGTGAATCCGGTTTCAGAGGGAGAGACACTATCACTCTGCACAAGAACCCTCAGGATCGACTAGAAGATATCTTAACCAACCTATTCAGCGACATTACGACAGACCTCTGGAGCAGGTGGAACTTGAATCCTGGGCTCCTGCCCCTGAGCTAGGGACAGTACCACTGCACCACAAGATCCTGCTATCTACCAGAACAGTTCGAGATTTGGTTGAGAGCAGGTGATGCTCATTGGACTTTGCATTTATGTGATATTTTCTATAAGCTGTTATTGGTGCAGTAGTAATGCCCCTACTCTGAGCCAGGAGGACAGGGCCCAGGAACCACCTGCTCCAAAGGTGTGTAATAACATCTCTGAACAGGTTGATCAGAAACTATCGATTTGATTTTTGTTTAAGTTTCCTTTAAAACTTTGATTGAGGTTACAGTGCACATAGGGGGCTGTTATTCGGTTCAGTTTGGTTAACCTGCCCTGTTAAAGGAGGAAGAGCTGGGGTCTTATAGTCATCAATATGTCCAGGCAGAGACTGTGAAGGGGTTTGTATTCCCTGACTATCTGCCTCCCTTTTGTGGCTATGTCTGCACCGGGGTGTTCTTGGGGTGAGAACACATAAGGTGTCCACTGGTACTTTTTAAAGCTTTTCAGGATATGTGTGCATCAGGGAGCTAGGGGGCATTACTTCCTCCTTTGATGACATTGTGATTTGATTGCTGTTAGTTTTTTGTTGATTTTGTTACAGAGCCCCAGTTGGTAGGCTTTTTTTTTGTTTGTAATTAGGTTTATGTTTTTTGAATGGACTGGATTCTTGGTTAATTAGTTCTATTAAGAGAATAAGGAATGGGATCTTCCCCAGTGGGGTGTTGCCTGCTGCACATGGAAATGATTCAGAAGGGAAAGATGGGAACAGGTGTTTGTGCTAAACTATGGATTTACAGCAAAACCCTTGCAAATCCTTAAAAGGCTTTGCTGCTGCCTAATTCATTGTATGGATATCAGTCTATAGAACAAAACTTACAAAATTCTTACAAGTTGTGACATGGTGG